CCAACAGTTTCTCAGCCTCCTCCAGGCTTCCTGCACATGAAAGAGAGACATCGGTGACTCTCTGAGGAGGGGAGAATAGAAGAGGGAGCTACGATCGGACTGGGATTCAGGATGCTCATGTTCTTACCTCAGTGCTAGGTAGATAGTAGGAAAGGACTAGGAGGCCAAATGCCATTAGGGCCATGACTTGACCTGCTAGGCAACAACCCATGAACTCACAGGATGGGACACAGACTTGATTCTGTTCACACTGTTATTCACAGGGGCTTCTCTGTTCCCTTGCCACAATGGTGAGAAATACTCTCTGAACAGAGCAAAGAGGAGGAGGAGAAGGAAGAAGAGACACAGAGCTAAGAGTATCCCCTTCATGTCTGGCTCTGAGCAGGACTGATGGGAGTTGGAACTTTGACCAGATGGCTGTACTGGACCCTTCCTCTCCATTCACAGAGAACATGCTAACCTAAGCAGGGTCCTTGCCTAATGTGCTAGACACTTCATATATGCCCACCAGGCATTGTACATGCAAGCTGTAAGGTTTTTTGTGTGTGTGTACACAAGGTCGGTATGTGTGACCATTAGATTGTGGCTGTGTCTATATGTGTGACAAATGGTATGTGCATAATGGTGTGTGATCACAACAGGTCAGTTGCATCAGGGAGTGTGTTCAATGTGGTTTGTGCGTGTACACATGGAATGAGTGTGTATGAAACTGTGTGAGTACACAAAAGTATGTGTGTGTGCACACCGTAGTGTGTAACCAATAGTGTGCATGGTCAGTGATGAATGTTTGTGTGTGTGTTCATTTGTCCATGTTCCCTCCACCCTCAAATATGATTTCCCTGATTCTGTTTTCCTTTCACTGATCTGCTGCCTCAGGCAGTGATTGGTGACAGGTCAAGGGCATTGGACTGAGATTCCTTTATCTAGAAACCAGGAACCCTGGAGATCTCAAATAATGGGCAGTCAAAGGATAAGGGAAGAGACTCATCATCACTGGGAATAGTCTTACTAGGGATAGCGTGGAGGAGAACCTTCCTATCTCTGGATGGCCATGAATGATGCCCAGGGGAGAGGCAGTCTCTGTTCTGACACTCTCTGGGGTATGATGCACACCCTACAGACAGAGAGGGCCAGAGGATATGGGGCACCTGCATGCTGCGTCCTCTTCCCATCTATGGGGAGATTCCAGGACTTAAGAGAAGTGAGGGAATTAGGGAGAAGTCCAGGGGCCCAATCTGTACTGGAGGGATTAAAGTTGGTAATTGTGCCTGTCTTTTAAGTGAAGATAGTGTTTTGCTGATGTCCAAAGACATCATCTGGTACTTTATCTGTTATGCCAAGGACAATAGTGATGAACAGCCAGGAAAGAAATCTCTCTGCATGAAGGCTGAGCACAGGGCCCAGGTGTCTGGCTTCTCAGTACCTCCTTCCGTTTCTGTGTTATGGTTGTTGTCTGCTCCATGCCCAGAGCCAGAAGGGATCCAGATGTTGGCAATGCTGTTCCCTTTATGCCTAGCCCCATACTTCTTTCCTGAAGGAGAGACCATGCATCTGATTTAAGGTGGATTCCAGACAATCTTCACTTTTAATGTGCTGGTGTTCTCTTAATCTCAAGGTTGTGGATTCAGGCCCCATGCTGGCCACCACAATAAAAAGAAATTTGAAAGATTCAGCATTAAAGTCAACAAAAATAATAACAATTAAAAAGTTCCAGTTTATCTGTCTAGCGTTAGGGCTGGGCCAGCCACTAAATGCTGGCAAATGCTCTCTAACTCCTCTCTCTTCACAGCTCTAATTCCCCAAACACACTGCTCTCTAAAGAAAACAAAGTATCTGAGCTGCTGCCTTTGACTCTGATCCGCAGACACACCTGGCTTCCCAGAATTAGACTGAGAAAGACAGCATTGAGACAGTTCACTTCCCAGATCCACAAAATCCTTAAGAAAAGAAGAAAAATAATCACTTTAATACAGCATGAAGTGAATAAGCTTGGGGGCGCTGGAGGCCCATTCTCCCAGGGACAATGGAAGAAGGGGTGGATGCAATATATCTGAGGATTCCTCATGTGCACAAATGAAACAGCCATGGCTCAAACAGGGATGCATCTCATTTATGTCAGTTCCTCCCCATTCCTCATCTCCAAAAAGACAAACTCAAGCCTCCACCTCCTCCACGCGTAGCTCTCCGTTCCCTTCAGTGTGGAGCCATGGGACTCTGGGAGAACCACAGATGGTGGTGACAAATGGTGACCACAGAGAATATAACAACTTGGAGAGGGTGAGAAGAGCCAATCTGCAATTTCTACATTTGAATTTGTTTGGAACCTTGTGGGTGTCACAAGCTTGCAAACTACAATCCCAGCTACCTAGAACATGGGCTTACCAACTTCACAAACTTCCAAGAGGAGGTATCCCTGGAACCAAATCATGGGGTGCCTCCCTACCTGCCTTGCATTGGTAGGCAGTGATATCTATGCCTTAAAGGGGTGAGGGAGATGAACTATGAGTTGTCTCCATTCCAGGTGATCCATGGGATGACCCTGGTGACCAGGATGAGGACCAGGATGAGAAAGCTCCGGAAAAGTTTCAGAAGGGATTTTTGAGACCTCCACTGTTTCCTAGCAAATTGTCTGGCCCACACTCTGCATCCATTGCTGCTTGCCAGAAAGACAAGAGGGCTGCCTTGACTTGCCTACTCCTCTTTATCTCCAGTGCCACTGAATAGCAAAAGAGAGTGGAAGTCCATAGAGTAAGTTGATGCTCAGATATATTTTCACAGTTCATCAAGGACACAGCCTGAGAAATCCTTCATGGAATGTGCGGCATAGGCCCAGTCAGGGTGCTCCAGCTCATGCTTGCAGCTGTGGGGAGAGAGAGATGCTATCTGGGCAACACCACAGTCCTCACCTGTTGATTCAGCATCTCCTGCTTAGTATCTGTATGCAGTTTTCTTCACACCTTTCACTAACCTTTCTTCCTCAGAGAAACACCGAGTTCACTGATACCCCACTAACTTTGTCCTTGCCAGCATCATGAGGCAGATGCACCATCAGCCATCCTAGCCCATTTCAGCTTGTTTCTCCTTCCCTGTTGCCAGGCAGAGTTCCAGGCACGGGATCCATCAGTTCCTATGAGAAGGCAAAAACGATGCCAGCAGGGCTGAGCACGGTGAAAACCTCTGTCATTTGTGGTCCAGGTTCCTTTCACCCTTGCCACTCTCCAGCTGTTCATCCCTGTGCACATGGGATTCACCAGCTGTGTTTGACCAATTCAGGAGAGGCTATATGGATGTCCTGCTGAGAAGAAGCACCTGAGGGTGCTGTGGAGAGGATGTCAGTGGCCTGAATCTGGTGAGTCTCTGAGCAGAGCAGCAGATGTCACTCCTAGAGCATGAGTGAATGAAATACCACTGTAGAGCTGCTTTCAAGACCCTAGTGGTCTCACCAGCTGCATGCTAGTGCCACTCCTCACACCGCTCTGGAGGACAAGCTCACTTCTGCTAGAAATGGAAACCACCTTGGACAGGTTGATTCACAGGGCAGAGGAAGCAATGACACAGATAGAATCAGTCCCTCAGGACTCCTTGAATTTGCCAGACAAAGCATGCTCCTGAAGCAGAGCTGCTGGAAGCCCTTGCCCCAGAGGCAGCATCAGGCTGACACCCAGGGCTCCTCAGCTAGATTCCAGTTCCTGGGGAGAAATCATCTCTGGAGGAACTTGGGCTACTGACCGTCAGCAAGGAAGATGAAGGGAGAGGCTGCCCTGGCCCCAATCCTCAGCACTTCTCCCTCATGCCTGTCCCTTTGGGCCACGCTCAATTCTTTCTTCTTTCCCAGGCTAGGCCAGCACTTTGACTACCCCTGGGCTCTCCATGGGCATTTGTCTTCCCCTCCTATTCCTCTCACCAGCTCTCCTTGGCCTGGGAGGGAGGGCTGGAGGGAGTCATACCTGTCCCCTCCCCACTCCCTCCCTCCATGCATGCACATACAGACACGTGTGCACACACATGTGCATGCACACAGACATCACACCCACACTGACCCTGCATGTGCCTCTGATCTCCATCACAAAGATCACTGCACAAGCCTGGAGTACTTCTAACACTCAAATAGGTATGTGACCAGCCAGGTTGGGTGGGCAAAGGTGTAGGATGCTGAGCACTTCCTATCCCTGTAGAAGAGGGAGGGCACCTCCTGTAGAGGAAAGAGGGCTGAGGAAAACAGCCAGGAAAGGTGGCCCTGGCTTACTTTGTCTTCTGCCACTCCTGGTCCCAAGGTGAGGGCTGTCATAGGTAGATATAGAATTGGGCAGCTGAGACCCTCATCCCATTCTTTGTGTGAACATGTTTAGGAACATTGTTAACTCTGCTGCAGAGAGTAAAAAAACTAACTGCAGTGAGATTCACAGTTCCTTGCAGGAGAGCAGCTGGAAGCTGCAGGCACTGTTTTGCACTTCAGAGAATGATGGGTGAAGAGCTTCACTGCATGACCCATGGGAGCCCTCAGCACGCAGAATGCTTGAGCTGTTGTGGTCTTTCCTGGTCTTGCCTCTCACTGATGTTAAGTGCTGTGCTTACAGTACTGTATAGAGAAAATGAGCCCTCGCACAACTAGAGGGAAAAAAAATCAACCAGCCACGGCTCGGGGAGAGAGGGAAAATGCATGGGTCCTATGTTTGTCCTTCATACCTCACTCTGTCAGCTCTCAAGGACTTCGGAAGGGGAATTCTCAGCATTCCTCTGCCTTGCACACACTCAGACTCCCTTCATAGGTCTCAGCATAGGTCTGTCCATGCAACTCTCTTCTGCCCTCCACTCCTCTTCCCACATCTCTGTGGGGTTTATGTTTCACTGTGATTGCATGTGTCAGACAGCCAATCCTTTCTCATGTTTCACATCCTTCCCAACCCCAGTATGTCCCATTCTCACTCAGTGCTTCCTCTTCACACATCGCTGTGCAGCTACAGAAGGCAGGTCCCTGAAAGGACAGAGCTTTTCCCTCCATGTTCCCCTGCTGGTTCTTTGTGGCCATGCTGGCCCATATGGGTAAGTGAACTCAACTCAGCCCTGAAGTCCTACACTGATTCCACTGCTGCTGTCCCAGCTGCGTGCCCAGTTGCTGGCAGTGCTCCATTCCCCAAGTTGCTGAGAACAGGCAACAAATGCAGTGGACAGGAATTCCTGAATCTTCTGTAACAGCTCTCTGCTTTTCTTTTTGTGCACAGCCCCTAAATGGTTCCTTTCTTGGACACTAACTGCCCAGGAATGTTTCTTGCCTTTTGGAGAGAGATTGCAATCTTACCTGCTGAGCTGAAGAGCTGTCCTGTTCCCTCCACTGCTCCCTAACCTGTCCTATTCCTTCTCACCCTCTTCTCTACCAATCCACAGTGCCCAGTTCAAGTGTTTCCATTTTTACCTCCTCCTCAATGCTCCTTCTTTTCTCTTCCAGTATTGGCTCTGGAACAGTCCCCAGACATAGTGAGACGACAAGGCCAGTCTGTGCGTCTGAGCTGTTCCAAGAAGAAATCCTCCAGCACAGCCATGTACTGGTACAAGTTGCCTTTGGGGAAGGACTCCAGGCTGGTCCTAGTGGCTTCGGCATTAGAAGCTGGAAAAGCAAACATTGAGGAGGATTTCCGAAGCCGTTTCAAGAGCAGTGAGATACAAGACGATGGGATCACCCTCTCAATAGAGCATGCCTTTCTCAATGACTCTGGCATGTATTACTGTGCTGAGAGTGAAACACAGTGGCTAGGCTGCTGAGGCAGGTGAGCACAAAGCTCCCCCTTCACAAAACGGACCTGATTTCCTCCTCACCGGTCCTGCACAAGGCAAGACTCATTACATGTTCTGCTTCCTAGCCTTCCCTTCCTCCTTTTCTCAGACTCTGAGGGTTTTTTTCCTACTTTCTCTCCTTGCTGTACCACCCCTCCTTGCCTCCCTCTTCATTTAACTCTTTTACATCGTATTCACATGATCTTTGTGCATCCCTGCGCTGTGCACGCATTCAGGCTGCCACACAGCCCCATTGTGCTCCTGTGATAACACTTATCTCCCATGTATGTATACACACACATACTCACACATATCAGGAAGTCAGTGGAGCAGGGTACATGCACCTTGTGGCTCCATGTAGATGTCATTTTGGGCTGTTCCCAGCCAGCCAACTGACTTCTCATATTTCAGGCTCTCTCTCACTGCCCTGCCCACCGGCAGAGAGTTCAAACAGTGCCTCTTCCTCCCTCAGCCTTTCCTCTCCACACATCTCTGTGCCTGTGCTGCCACCACAGGCAGGTGGCTGGAAGGAGGTGGTCTTTCCCCATGATTCTCTGTGTGTTCCTTGTGGCCATCCTGGCTCCTGTGGGTAAGTGAGCTTCCTTTCTGTCTGAAGAGCAGCTGCTGCTGCTGGCTTAGCTGTGTGCTCAGCTGCCGAATCCACTAAGGCTTCCAGAGGAGGATGGGTAATGAATGAAGGGAGCTTTTCTTCAACCTCCTAACTCACAAAAATCTACAGATCTATGGATTTGTTTTTTCGCTCCTATTTTAATACTTCAGTTGAATGTACTGAAGTAATTGTTTTTCATAACAAATTTGCTACTGTATTTGAAGTTGGTTTATGCTAGTTTTTTTTCTCCTATGTGTATTTCTCAGAGAAGTGGGACGTCGTCCCATATGTCCTTATGTCACCCCATACCATGTCATACTTCAAGGATATGTTATCATGTCCCCTTCAATGTGCTTTGCTTCTCATATCCCTTCCCTTGTCTTTCCAGGCCAGGCTGTTCAGCAATCACCAGACACAGTTGTCCGAGTGGGAGACTCCGTGACTTTGAACTGTTCTCAAAAGGCAAATGCATTCTATACCATGTACTGGTACAAGTTGCCCATGGAGAAGGATGCCACTCTGCAGTTGGTTGTACACTCAGTGGAAGGTGGCATGGCAGTGATTGAGAAGGAATTCAGAAATCGCTTCCAGAGTGATGGGACTAAGGACAATCACTTGTCTGTGCAGATACATCATGCCCTACTTAATGACTCAGGCACATATTTTTGTGCTGAGCAAGACTCACAGTGACCTAAAAGCTGGAGCAGCATAGCACAAACCTTTCCAAGCAAGCAGGTATCTGCTCCTAGCACACACAGAGCCCTGTATTTGACACTACCTCATTTTCTCTTCTTGCCTTCCAGCTCTGTCTATTTAGGAGAAGTGGTGGCATTTTCTGTCTTCTACCTGGTGTCTAATTTCTATCTTATTCTTTCCCATGTCTGAATCACCTTTTGATCCTCCTTTATTCTTACACTCACTGTCTTGCCTCGTTTCTCTACTATCTATAGACTGCTCCTCTCTTCCTCCACTCTTTTTCTCTGTCCCCTTCCCCTTTCTTCTCTGCCCTCTTTCACATCTGTTCACCTCTTATTTCCTACATATTCTTCCATTTCTTCTCTCTTTCAGCCTGTTACAATTACTCCTGGGTATGCAGTATGTGGAGCAGTCCACACAGCCCTTTCCTTCTCCACTAGCTGGAAAGTCAAGGGCAACGCAGAGTTGAATCTGTCAAGGGATCCCAGAACTGAGCACTCCTGTGTGTGTCTATGAGCTTTGAGGGTCTCCTGGGATTGCTCACACTACAATTTCTGAGAGTACAGGTGGCTCTCTGGTAAACCAGGGCTCATCACAGTGTCATGCACAAGGGGTTCCAAGTTCCAGAATCCCAGCAGGACCATGCTACTGAGAACTTCTGTGTGCATGCTGTCCCCTAGTCCTGCCAGTTTCCAAAGACTGGGCACACTGTTGTGCATCAGGGTCCCCAAGTCATGTAGCTACTCGGTGACCTGGAAACTCAGATATATGGGATGTAGTCCAAAACTTGATGGTATCTGGAGATGGATGATGGTCCTGTAGCTGAAGAAGAAGCCTTCAAGAAGAATGGAGGAATGTTTGGTTGTGAGGTCTTTCTGGTACTCATATAGACTGTTGGTTCTCTGTTAAGCCCTGCCAAGAGACAAACATACGTTTTTCTTGTCCAGTGACTGGCAGAAGGGGTTAGAAATTTACTCTCTGTGGAAGAAAGGTGCCCTTTGTCTCTTTCTCCTATGCAGACCAATTCATGGTTCAAGTGTCACAGGTGAAACATCTTTTCTGAAACTAGTTCTGGGGTTCTTCAAAAACCTCTCTAAGATATTCCAGAGGATAATCTCTGTAAGAGATTCCAGAGGGGACCCATCACAAAGAATTAGATGAAGGACCCAGGATTTGTCCTGTATGAGTGTCCTCAAGCCTTGATTTATGTCCAATGCTCTGTCACACAGAAAACCTCAAGTCCCTTTCAGACATTGACACTGCACTCCAATCTACTTGGACGTCTCTGGAGCAGGCCAACCCAGCTTGGCTGCCCCCGCCCCAGCTATACTTTATATCTTGGTGTCAAGGGCTGGGGCTGGGCTGGCCGCTAAATGCTGATAGATGCTTTCTAACCCCTGTCCCTCCCAAAGCAGGAAGGGAAAGGGAATAAGTCAGAGAGGCTTATGGATTGGAAAAGAAAACTAAAACAATTTTAGTAAAACAATGATAGTACTAATAAGGAAATAATGAAAATAGTGATAAATATATACAAATATATACAAAACTGATACCTAAGTCAACTTGCCCCCTCCACATCCACAGCAATCATCATCGAAGCTGCAGAACAGGCAGGCACCAAAGAGTGTCTGTGGCTCAGCAGCGGAGGGGAACAGGATACAGGAGCTGGATTTGGGAACTCAGGACTGGGATTGAAAGCAGAACAGACGTAGTCTTCCTCAGATGCCAGTCATTAGTGCAGGAGCAAGAGCAAGAGCAAAAGATCCTTCAGTTTTATACTGTATAGGGAGTGGAATACTTTTGTTAGTCACTTGTCCTGTCTGTTACTCCCCAGAGTTGTAACCTTTCACTTCCTTGTGACCTCCAAGCATCCACAGTGTGGCACACAAGATCCAGAAGTGGCCTTGGTCACTGTAGGAATAAATATAAGCAAGAGCCTATAGTAAGTATAAGCAAGAGTCTATAATATGTATAAGCAAGAGCATACTAATCTCAGGCAGTAACTGTACACATCAGGTGTTTTCACTTCTAATACCACATACTGTCAAAAAACATACAAAACATGCTGTTGACTTCACAAAGTACAGTCTCTTAGAAGAAACTGAGCTGAAAATTAAACTCGCTGAACAGAATTGGTTCTGGACACTTGGTTGGCATGGGATGAGTCCCCGCTCTGTGCCCCTGGGGGCAAGAGGTGGAAACAAGGCCTGAGGTCTCTCAGCCATCCTGGCTGTTCAAAGCATTGCTGACCACAATCCTGCCACTGAATCTGCCTTTGCCCTAGGAAGATAAATGGATGTCACCCTTTGTCCAGAATGAAGCAGGGGCCACTCTATATCCCTGCCCAAGGCCAATGTTCAGCTAGCAGCACAAACACTGCCCACACAGGTGCAGCCTGTGACTGCTTTGTCATCATGTTATAGGGTGCAGACAGATTCCCCAGAGAAGGAAAGTTTATAATACACTTGAGCATTAATCCCATAATCCCCTGGAAAATAATCCCATAATTCTTTTGGGATTAATCCTATTATCCCAATGGAAATATTTCTGTAATGCCACTGAGGAGTAATACCATAACCTTCTTTAGGTTAGTCCCATAAACTCAGTGAAGACTAATCTGATAATCCAAAATGGGATTAACTCTGAAAACCCATTTGGGATTATTCTCAAACTATACATGGGCATTAAGAAGTTAATTGCAATGTGATTAAACACATAATTAGAATTCTGTTTATCTCATAACCCCAGTAGGAATTAATCCCATAATCCTTACCAAGAGAGAAATCAGAAATAATCTTTAGACAGAGACCATCCACATATTTCCCTGAGGAAGAATCACAGGGCTGCCAATGGGGTGGATCAGAGTGCAAAAAACTTTTTGTGCAATTTTGCATAGCAGATATAAGTAGCTAATTCTTCTGTCCTCAGCCATAATTACAACACAAAACAGTCTCTCAGGGAGAGCAGTCATCTGGGCTCCCAGCCCCAGAGGTTGGGAACCTGTTAGATGAAATCCAAGGCCACAAGTTTTTCATCTGGCTGCAGCTGCAACTGGGACCAGTGCTCTTCAATATCTTCATCAATGACACAGCAGGATCAAGTGCACTCTCAGCAAGTGTGCCAGCAACACTAAGATGTGTGGTGCTTGTCAACATGCTGGAAGGAAGGAATGCCATCCAGAGGGACTTGAATGGCCTTGAGAGGTAGGCCCATGCAAGCCCATGCAAATTCAACAAGGTCAAGTGCAAGGTCTTTCACCAGGGTCGGGGCAATCCTCATTATCAATACAGACTGGGAAATGATGTGCCAGAGAGTAGCCTGCAGAGAAAGACTTGAGGGTACTGGTGGTTGAAAGACTGGACATGAACCAACAATGCTCACTCGCATCCCAGAAGGCCAGTCACATCCTGGGCTGCATCAAAAAAAGCATGACCAGCAGATCAAGACAGGTGATTCTGCCCCTCTATTCTGCTCTGGTGAGACTTCATCTCGAGTACTGCGTCCAGCTCTGGATCTCTCAACATGAGGGCATAGACCCATTGGTGTGTGTCCAGAAGAGGGCCATGAAAATGATACAGAATTCGGAGCACGTCTCCTATGAAAGTCAGACTAAGAGAGTTGGGGCTGTTCAGCCTGGAGAAGAGAAGGCTTCAGGGAGACCTTATTACAACCTTTCAGTGTGTAAAGGGAACCTGTAAGAAAGATGGAAGCAATCTTTTTAGCAAGGCCTATTGCAACGGGTTCAAGCCGACTGACTGGAATGTGCTGCTCTGAGTGGAAATGTAACATTTCCACTTAGATCTCCTGTTAAATATTTCAAAATTTCTGCTTTTCATATAATTTTTTTGTGTAACTAGATTAATCATTTCAGCCAGGGTTTTTGAAGATGCATATCGCTAACATGTTTTCAAATTTCTGGGTGCCTATCTTGAGAAACAAGAGTTTTGTTTGCACTACTGGTAAGAAATCCCACTGTTAAAATAATTTAATGGAAGATAGGATTTGAACTGACAAAACACCACATAAATCAACTGCTTTGATAAAGCCAGATGAAGTCATCTGATGATGCCTCTTACACATTATGAAAATCATTTCTGGTATAACTTGTAGATAGCTCACTGTAGTAGCTACTACATTTGTTGAGAAGTGGCAAGGGGAGGGATGCTCCATGAGGAGCACAAGCCAGGACTTGAGGGTGACCCTGCTCAGATTGGGCTCTTGGGAACAGGGCACAATCATGCAGGGGCTGAGCATGGCAGACAGAGCTGAGGACTGGTAAGGGGTTCCATTGATCACACCAGGTCCAGGGTGTCCCCAGGAAGTCCAAGTGTAAGCAAAAAGAAGCAGAGCCAGGGCAGGGCTAAGTTTCCCACGGAGCAGGGCTGAGGGGCACATACAGCCTGGAGAAGACTCCATTGAGACATTATAGCTGCCTTCCAATACCTGAAGGAGGCCTACAGGAAAGCTGGGGAGAGACTGTTCACAAGGATGTGTAATGATAGGACAAGGGGCAATAGTTTTAAACCAGAGCAGGGTAGATTTAGATAAGATGTTAGGAAGAAGTTCTTTACAATGAGGGTGGTGAAACACTGGAACAGATTGCCCAGAGAGGTGATGGAGGTGCCATCCCTGGAGGCATTCAAGGCCAGGCTTGAAAGGACTCTTAGCAACCTGACCTAATTAAAGATGTCCCTGCTTACTGCAGGGGAGTTGCACTAGATGATCTTCAAAGGTCCCTCCCAACGCAATGCATTCTATGATTCTATGATTATCTGGTGGTGGAACTTTTAGTGTATCCAACAATTGCTTTATATAAAAGCTGACTAGGTCTTATTTGATTATGGGTCTATAGTGTGCCGAAAAAATCCGCTTTTTTTGGTAAAGTCAATTGGACCCACAGGGCTGCCCAAACAGTTGGCATAGGAATTAATAGTTGCATTAATAATTAACCTCCTCCTCCATATCTAAATGCAGCAGTTTTGTAAAAGAT